AACTCTTTTTTTTAGTGGATCTATTACGGGGCAAGTGAAATGCGAAGTACTGCCTGGAATTTCCGATCACTCCGCTGTGTTGTTAACCCTTTCGGGCATCTCTGTGAATAAATCTGTTGATGTCACTACTGTGCCAAACTTCTCGAGCGCAGATGATGTTGCCATATTAGATATGCTTTCGTTTAGTTTTGACTCGCTTTAGGGCAGTAGTGCAGATATACATATTGTTTGGAACCAATTTAAAGATCTTTTTAATGATCGCATAAATCACTTTGTTCCTTCTTTGTTAAAGAAAAGGCAAATCTCCCCGGATTTCTCGTGACACTTTGCAATTAAAAAGACGAATAAAATGCCTGAAGGTGAAAAGAGGTACTGCAAGAGATTTAGACATTTTACTTGTGAAAATTTCCTGGCTTTTTTCGGAGCTAAAAATGAAAATCTCATCAGACAAGCAATGCTACTTAGGGGAGAAACTTCTGGAATTTATCTCTTCATCACTTGAAAAATTCTGGAGGCTCGTTTCTCCTAGTAAACAAATTAATGATGCTTTTATTGTAAATAGGGTATTGAGTAATAAGCAGCTTATCATAAACTATCATCCTATCTTGCTGATTTCAACATCATGTAAGATTCTGGAGCATATAATACACAACCATATTAGCGAATTCCTTTCAAGAAATAAATTATTGCCATGCAGTCAACATGGTTTCAGAAAAGGGTTCTCGACATGCACTCAGCTAGTAACTACAATACACGATTTCTCTCTGGTGATAAATTCAGGTAAGCAGGTGGATGCAATCTTCATGGACTTTCCAAAAGCCTTTGACAAGGTTTCCCACAAAAAGCTATCCCACAAACTTCATGTCACTATGGGTAATACTAAAATTGTTACTTGGCTTACTGCGTATTTTTCAAACTGACAACAGTATATTTCTTTTAAAACCAGGTCTCTCAGATACTTCCCGTTGACTCTGGCGTTCCGCAGGGTTCAGTACTTCTGGTTCAGTTTCTTATTTTTATAAATGATATTGATAATGACATCCCTGTGAAAATTAAAGTTAATGCAGATGACTGTGTAATGTATTCAGAAATTGATACCATCAGCGACCAGATACGACTAAATGAAGTCTTTAATAGAATAGTGAAATGGTGTAATGATTGGCAGATGGCCAATAACTCTGACAAAACAGTTTTTATGAAAATTTCGCGCAAGCGTAGCAATCTACATTTCCAGTATTCGGCACACAATGTCTTGCTCTCGGAAGTTGACCACTTATATCTTGGTATTTGGATTTGTAATGATCTCAAATGGAACACATAAAAAGTATGTATAATTCTGCCTATCAATTTCTTTCTTAGACGGGCCTTGAGAGTCACAACTACCAATGTTCGTTTTCTTGCATTTAATGCAATTGTGCGGCGTCTATTAGATTATGCATCCATAATCTGGTATCCTTTCACGAAAAAAGACACTGATAAAGTAGAAGGCCTTCAAAAGCGGGCGGTTCAATATATATACAACACCTTTTGACACACTTCGATCACAGCCTTGCTAAAAAAAGCTAATCTACCAATCTTGACACAAAAAAGTCGCGTTCTCAAATTAAAATTTCTCTATCAACTTATTAAGGGACACTACAGCGTTGATATTGCTGAGATCATTTCTTTTTCTACAGGTGATGCTAAAAGCAGAGAAATGCACTAACAATCACCCCCTTCACTACTCACAACAACTGGTTCAAGTACTCATTTTTTCCTAGGGTCATAAATGAATGGAGTCAACTCTCCAACGATGTGGTGTTGTAGCCATCCCTGAATTTGTTCATGTCTCATATTGTGTAACTGGCTTATTTTCCTTTTCATTGAGTTAGTAGCTGTAGTTGATGCATTGTTTCAGTTATACATGAAGCATATATCTGTATAGACTTTGTATGCATGTAGTTTGTTCTTCATCGTTTTTGTTAGCCCTACTAGTTGTATCAAATATTTGTGTCCCATCCTGCGAAAATCCCTTAACGGGGCTACAGTATTTGTAAATAAATAATGTCAAACCTTTCATGGTAAAACTCGCATTCAAAAATGAATGTACCTACACAGTCCTTTTTGCGCAATGGGTTTAAGATTTAAGGTTTTAAGGTTTTAGAATGCCGTATATGATCTGATGTCTACGTTCATTTTTTGTTGTATTCATGACTGAATTAAATGGCTTATAAACAGAACAAGTGTGCTGTGTCAATGAAGGCATGTTTTCTTTGACATTGTAACATCTGCTGCAGTGCCTTCGAGTAAGAAATGCGATGTAACCGTGGCTTTTGTTTTGTTTGTAATTTACTTCTTTAAAAACCTTTTTGTAGGTGACATAAGGAGTTGTAGTTAGACACTAGAAGTTCTTGGGTTGTACCACAGTAATTTTTTAAATTGGTTCACTACGAACCACGAAACAGTCAATGCGGAGAGGCAAGCTTGAATCCCTTGCTTCTCGCCCCATGTAGCCATCGCGAGCCTAATTCCTTCACTGCTCTCTTCAGTATCGAGGCTGGAAGATCACATAATGAATATGCACCAAGATTATCATGCACAAGCAAGGTTACGCGTACATCACATGCCCCAGCCTACTCGTACACGTACGCCATCGATGTTGTGTCGTTTCAGCGTTCTCTGTCATGTATTACCAGTTTCTGTGGGACGGATCAGTCAGTGCGCGTACTTTTTAAGAGGCTGGCATGGATCATGTATCCTGACTGCAATACACGATGTCGCTCTGTTGAAACTGCGGTCAGAGACGACACACTAAAAACACGCTAAGTGTTTTCAGGGTTGGTGAGGGCACGATGCAGGAACGAGAAGACGAATGAGAGCGAAATGGCGTAGTAGTATAAGCAGTCCTAGTAGCAGTAGTAGAGGTAGTAGTGGTGGTAGCAAGTGTGCTTTTACGTGAAAAAGCAATATGATTATGAGGGATGCTGTAGTAGAGGGCTCCAGAAATTTTGACCATCAGGTGTTGTTTAACGTGCACTGACATCGTGCAGTACGCAGGCATCTACCTTTTTGCCTCCATCTAGATGCGACCGCCATGGCCGGAATCGAACCCGTGACAGTCGGGTCAACAACAGAGCAGCCTAGCCAATAAAGCAGACGCGAAACGAGGGCCGATTAGTGTATAGTATCTCGAGGCCATTGAAAACAAAAATGAAAATAATAACAAGCTGACATTCCGTTTGCGTGTTTTATTATTTTTCTCAGCTTTCATTCATTATATTCATTTGGAAAGGGCAAAATGATATGAAGCAGCTAGCCCAAACCAAAGCACTTTTCTGAGTAGTATTGACTCATCTTGTGTCCTTTCTGCACTCTGTCTTCGTTTCTTTGGCTGTTTATCTCGACCAAAGTACTCCTCATTCATACTAGACAACAGAACACAGAAATTACACATGCGACGTAGCATGTCACATGCAACTCTCTTATTGAGGTACCGTTTAAGCCCTGCCGGGGTGGTCTAGTGGCTAAGGTACTCGTCTGCTGAGCCGCAGGTTGAAGGATCGAATCCCGGCTGCAACGGCTGCATTTCCGATGGAAGCGGAAATGTTGTAGGCCCGTGTGCTCAGATTTGGGTGCAAGTTAAAGAACCCCAGGTGGTCGAAGTTCACTACGGCGTCTCTCATATTCATATGGTAGTTTGGGGACATTAGACCCCTCATACAATCAAGGTGCAGTTTTAAAAAAATGCAGGGTATGATCAAAAGACTGGACATTTTACCTCTGTTTTTCTTGATATGGCTAGCATTTAACCAAGTTATGATGAATAGTGTACGGTGAGCGATGTCAGAGCACTAATGCCAACGTAAAGTAGTGACGTGAAAGCAGGACCATTCCTTGGTGTACGTCACTTCCTCCATTTTGGAGTGCGCACTTGCGAGAAGGGCAAGTGATAATCAGTAGAAATTTAGGATTTTTCCACGACATGTATCGTTACAGATCTTAATAGGCATTATGGCGAGGGCCCAATGCATCCATTACGCTTGTCAGCTCGAAATGCCCACACCTAGTGAGAGCCCTCTAAGGTGTTCACCGACAAGGGGAGAAATTAAACCTGTGCGATTAGACCTGGCAACTCTTCCTTCTAGGATATCAGTAGTCTAATTATATGCTTCTGCGCTGCTCTTCCCAGCCACGACGAAATGAAAGAGACCCAGGAGAGTGTTGATTGGATGGTGGAAACTTGACTCACAATCCTAGACAATAAAACAAAAGACCGTAATCTGCGAATCGCGTGGGAAATGCGTGCCTATGTGCAGCCGTTGGTGCCTTTTTGCTATCTTAAACAATATCACTTTTTTGCTTCTTATTGTGGATACAAGTCTCTGACGTCCTTGTTTTGAATTGATTCAACTTTTGTAAAAACTTATTGTGCCTATATTTGTGATTTTGAAGGCCTGAAACAATGTTTTACCTGCCTGTCTTTGGTGCCTCAAACACACTTTTTAGTGTCTAAAAGTCCGGCCTCTACTTATTAGTCTTCAAATTTCAAAACCTCAACAGATGACGAAAAAAAAAAAAAGCACATCACTCTCCTATTGATGTCTAAGGCTGTTTCCAATTGCGCGACTCTCACAGAAACATACCGGACGACTGGCCTCGTGGTGGTCATTGTGCAGTGTTCCTAGCATCATCTTGTATAATTGTTTTCACATTTTCATATTTAAAAGAGAAGTGAGTGCTTTTACAATATTTAGCACACAAAAGTGAGGCCTATCTAGGACCGTATAAATATTACATACACTTGTCGTATCGGGCCAACCAAAACACATGGCCTATGGCCTATGTTATCACTCCCACGTGGTGAAGCGTCACTTCCGATCACAAAAATAGGCGCTGTGTGTCAGTTTATCCCACTCCATATAAATGAAGTTATAACAGCTTTGTTTTTGGCATAGCCCCTCACACAACAATAGTGGTGCATTCCACAGCTCAAAAGAAAGCAGTGAAAACAACACACCTAATTTGTGTCGCATGGTCCCTTTATTAATACGCAACCAAGTGGTCAGTATGATCACATGGAACTTTCATACTGGCTTGAAGGCTGGGAACCAGCCAAGCCAATACGCTGGTCAAATTGAGAACCCACATCCAGAATATGCCATTTTTATGCTTCTTCTTGCCAAGTATGACGTAATTCCTTCTAAAATGCATATTCTGAGCAGCAAACAAATAGGCATTCACTTCACTGTAACCAATACTGTCCAGGCCACGGAGCAAGAAAGACAGGAGGGGAAACGACGGGCCGGCGCCAGCGCGAGCGTGCGCCGAGAAAATGTCACCCTGAGAGAGGAGGTTGGTGAACGTGTGCGCAGCGATCTTTGCGGCAACGCACAGAACTATTTATTTTTCGCCGTGACAGGAGAGCGCACGCGTCCGCAGTCTCCGACGCATGCGAGTGTCGTCTGCTACATCTTGCACCGGCCACTCGCGCTACGTTGCCTTGTGGTACAAAAAGTTTTAGTTAAAAATGTTAGCGTTAGAAAGGTAAAGCCGGATTAGTGCATCCTATTGCCAATCTTCTTTGTTATTCACACTTCGTATAGAATGCTCTTGTATCGAATTGAAGGGACAAACTGACCCACTACAGATAGCAGACGTTCTGATGATGCGGCAGTGCGGCTTCGCATTTTGTAAGTTTTTTGGTATAACAAAAGGCAACATTTTTTCTAGTTATTAACATACGCCATAAAAAATGGTGACCCGAGCATGCCATACACACCTGATGTTTGTGATAGAAATTTAATGACATTTCCTTCATCACACTTGAACAGACGTGAATAGACAGAGCAACATATGAGCTCGGTTCGAGAACCAGCACGTCGTAAGTTTGACAGTTATTGCGCTGCTGATTCGCGATGTACGTTGACTGTATAAAAGGGTGCCAATAATCGACATGGGGCGCCGATGCTTTGTCCCGAATTGCAACAGCGGATATAATTCTTGGCTGAAAATGTTCGCACTTTCAAAGCTCCAGCTGACCCTGAACGTTTGCAGGAATGGGCGAGAGCTATTGGCCGGGTGGATTGCGATTTCACAACATGCGAATATGTCTGCGAAAAGCATTTCCCCAGTGAAATGGTGAGCAGGCGCAAATACTACGCTGAGCTTGGAGGCGCAGTTATTCTTGAGCACCCGAAGAAGCCAAAGTTGGTGCCTGAGGCAGTTCCTAGTATTTTCGCGGACGTTTCGCCGCACTTGAATCCAGCAAAAAAACCCAAAGTCAGCCGTAATGTACTTCAAACTGTTGATAAAAGAAGCCCTAAAAGAGTGAAGGTGGATAGTGTGTATCAAGATTCAGTAGCCACCAGAAACCAGAGTAATAGCCTTCAAACAAATACGAACTTCAATATGAGCTTCATTGCCCGAAAGGGGTTAACGTCTGAGCATTCGAGTATATTGCGCATGAACTCTCCGCCACAGCCAAGCTACAATTCAACTACCTCTGCTAATGAAGATGTGCCAATGCAGAAAATAGAGGCAGGAGCTTCTGCCTCTACAGCAAGCTGGCTCCAGCAGTTGTCCAGTGAACATCCCATACCAATGCCAAACCCTGCATGGAACACTACATAGACATTGATGGCGTCGAATGCCTTTTTTTTGTGCACATGGTGAAAGCGTCAGTGCCATCTGCCACATTGACATTTAAAACCATAGAATTGATGCCGTACCACTAGGGCAGCGAGAGATCTACAGCAACAAAATGGGTTCTGGGTCACGATTTGAGTCGTTTAGTAGTGGAAGTACTTTGTGAAGCCCAGCGGGCCAGAAATATTATTGACATGCTTTGGGAATGGCAGGCCATCATACTTTTAGAGAAGGCAGGTGCGCTCGTCGACAGGATTGTTTGTGATGTAGCGAGCACAAACAGAAGGATGTGGACAGAACTCGGTATAAATGGGAAACTCAGTTCAAAGAAAAACTCATTTGAACACCCAATGAACGACGCAAGAAAGGTGTATATCTTCTCCGACATGCCACACCTCGTGAAGTGTGTTCGTAACAGGCTCCTGAAACAGCGCTTTTTGAAAGTTAATGGTAAGTGGGTGCACTGTTCTTGCTATGTTGCTGTCTACAAAGAGGATTGCAAGAATGCAGGGGGCTTGAAGGTTTGCCCTAAAGTAACGAAGGTTTGCCCTAAAGTAAGAACGAAGTGCGTGATAAGGACCACACGGCAGCATCAAAGATAAAACTTTCCAGGCTTTGCAAAAACTAGGTATTTTGGAAATCGCCGTGCGTCCGCACTACATTCTCGCTCCGTGGTTCGCACTTAGAAGAAACGAAAAAACTGATAGAGGAACGAATACGCGGTCCTCACGAGCCTTTTAGAATAAATTTTGGTGTATCTGTGATGTTATATAAATTTTTCATCTTTGTTTGTAGCCAATCTACATTAAATAATGAAAATCATGAACTTTGAAATCAAAACACATGTCAGAAAAGCATAGACAGATCAGAATTACTTTTTTTTGCAGTATGCATCAACCCCCGTCATTCCCGCTTGCAAGCAGGCTACACGACAGGACATTTGTATCGTAATGAGAGCATGTTGCATGCCAATATACTGCAAGTAAAGCCTTTACCTTATAGCATGCGAAGTTAAATGATTGAAGAAAACAGAAATTGTAAGGGAAACAGACGCATTGATGAATTAAAGCGAACCGCTCAATGGGTTGTTGATAGTTCCATGGTACAAAAGAGCGGCATTCAAGCACCAAGCACAAGCCCTCGAGCAAACGACAAGAGCGGTCTCGATGCTTCCCACGCCTGCCGCTCTGGCGCAGCAGTTCGGCCGCGGTTCTGTAGGTGGCGCTGTCCTGACGTCTGCCACCTCTCCCCGGGGTGACACTATCGCGGCGCAAAAAGGAGCCGAGTTTCCCCTCCTGTCTATTCTTCCTCCAAGGTCCAGGTTCATGAAACTTCAGTTTCCTCATGGCAGTATGATACTTGTTGAAATATGGCAACACCAAACAATATTACATTGGCTCCTGTTTTTGGGGAGCAGAGGTTTGACTGCTTTGAACAGGTTACCATAGGATGTGAGATGCTTTGATTTGCAAGACAAGGATCATGCAGTAGGAAAATTTGAAGGTATCGACACATTCTTTTATGCCAGATAGCCATTTTGATGCAAATCAAAACTCTATATTAATGTGAAGTTATAGAAACACAGCAAAAAGGCTATGATTGGCTGGAAAATTAACTGTACCTACTAAACATGGCGAGTAGAACATGGAGTGTAAATAGAATAGAATATAAATATATAAAAACATGCAAATATATATTGATGAGATAATCCTTGATAAAAAAATGAGAGCAATAAAAACACATGAATCAAATTACAGTAACTCATTCAATCAAACAGGAGACTAGCACACGGCTACACATGCTTATGTAATAAATGTAATGTGACTAACTAAACAAATGCACTTCAAAGGCATTATTTCATTATAAATGTTGAAATGTATTCAAACAACAGTCTGACATAAGCTTTCATAAAAGCTCCACAACATCTCAATCGGGACAAACAAACAGTGTTAAATTAAATTCAAATGGTTTAATATCCCATATATGCATTTACGGGCATATCTAGCAATTTTGTGTGAGGGAAAGGTTTCACCAAAAAGAAGTTGAAGTGATTATTCAAAAAAAGTGCTACTATTTCCCCCCATAGAATTATGAACCTAATGAAGAGGGTAATTTGAAGTGATAGTCGTGAAGCATTACTAACTCTGGCATTAGTCCAGATCCATCACAGAAGTACTGATGGCTCAACATATCCAACATCCAGATAACAAACACAAGTTCATGGCATCAAGGGAGCAGAGACCAAATATGCAGTCACTCTTGTTTGACCTTATAATACATTTGGATACACTGGTCAATACAATGGACGCAGGCATTGCACATGCAAAATAATATGGAGCGCTGAGCGCGTCTGGAGGGAAGGATTGATCTGATGCCACAGGAGATGACACCGTCTCATACCTACTGCTTTGAGTTGCATGTTAGTACATGGCAATTTATTCTATGGACCACAATATCCTACTCTTAATCACTGGTTTAGAATAAGAACACTTATTCCATAACTAGTTGTCAGGTGTCTGCCCAATGATGATGTGGCAACTGATAAAAAAGCCATGAGAAGTGAGTACTGAAGTCAAGCATCTGTAGCTCATACTTTGTAGATACATACTACAAAAAGCACACTTTGTTACAAACAATGTAAAAAAAGAGACAGTGCATTGAAAAATAAAGCAGAATTGAAATTGAAAAATACATTTTTATAAGTAACTTCTGTAATCCACATGCAGTGTCCAGAGAATTGCAATTCGTAGACATAAGCTATTCATTTGATGGTCCTGATTGATCAAGTAAAAATGTGACTTACATCACTATCAGTTATGCAATGTACCAATAGTGTAGGCACAGTACTACTGGCAGTAGCTGTATAACAAACATACACATTACTAGTATTGATTGAGCCTTTTAATTTTGCTTTAAGCAGTGTCACTAGCAGGTCAACACAAGTAGTAGGAGAAAGAAATGGGAGATGTGCCCTCCGTAGACTGACTAGTGAAACTTCTCTAGTAAACTTGAAGCATAAAGCAAAAAAAGAACATATTTACTAGTGATTGAGCGCCAACTAGCCCCTTTTCAACCTTTGCTTGGTTCAACTTCACTATGCTTCACTATAAATTCTAGGACACCTTATCTCAGAAAGTGTTCTACATAGGTAAACATAATAGGTACCTAAAATTAAATTCTAGTTTTTTACATGCAAAAACTAAAATACAAATATGAGCCACATAGTAGCAATAAGGGGTTCTGATGAAGCATTATCCTTCTTGCCCCCATCAAAATATAGCCAAACCATGGCTTTGCAATGCCATTGCCTTAAAACACCATGGCAGGAAGCAATATGAGTAAATAAATAAAAATACAAAATGTACAAGAGATTGAAGTTGGCTAGCTTGTAGAGCAATATTTCAAGTGCACTGTACACGAGTGCAAATATCTTACTCATACAACACCACAACTGTCATTCACAGTGGCACTAGTTATATAGCCTAAAAACCTAATGAGCAAATGTGGTTTAAATGCCAAACATAACAAATTTCAATAGTTCTACTAACACAGCTCCCAAGGCTACAGTGACATGGCAACTAATTGTGAGCGAAAAGATAAAAAGATTTAACATCTGGGCACACAGACACAATATTTGTGTGTAATGAGGGTTGATATTCAAAGAATTCCATTTATCAAGGACCAAGTTACTTAAGAAAATGAAATACAAGATATGAAGGCTACACCAACTGTGCTCTGTCATCAAATGTCTTTGGAGAACATAAATCTTGTTCTACATTTTAGTTAACCCATTTGTTAAAATAACTCACAAAATTATTACTCAGTGCCTAATGGCATGTAATAAAACAATTGCAATATGTATTCCAGAACATCATACACATTAAGTTGTTTCAAACTCACTATAACTTTTCTAGTTATTTTTCCTGCACTGAAAAGTTGTGGCACAAAATTTTTGAAAATGCAAGATGAACAGACTTGTTTGCCTCATAGCTGGACACCTAAAAGACATGTCCGACAACTCTACTGAAGTGCTCACTCGACGACAGTGCAACGTGATAAAGCATTGGTGTAACGATTACCTGCTAAATAGAGCAGTGTGCACCAGTCTATAAGAATGATAAGAAGTGTGACTATTTTTGGCAGTGGCCAATGAATACACTGATGCCTTGTAACTTTTATGTAGCCATGGCTTCAGCGATTTAGTAGTTTAGTGAAGTTGGCTTGTCAAAACAACCATCAAGAGCACTGCTGTCACAAATGCCAGCAAATAAACATGCACTCTATTTTCGTTTATCTTTTTTTTTTCAACAATGATTTAATATACAGAAAAGGAAGATCTGTATTCAAATGCAGAGCAGAATTTAGTATTTGCATGCATTTACTACTCCAGCTAGTAGACTCCAGGTACATAGTTCTTTATTTAAGAATAACAGAACAAAATCTCTGTACTTAAGATGAATGTTGCAGAATTTTATTAGTAGCATTCTGCACATTTTGTAGAATTTTGGTTTTAATGGCACATTACATGTTAGCTGAGACACCCCGTATGCAGCAGAATAGTGTGTCATTATTATTCCAAACAGCATAACACCGAGCAGATTCCGCTCACTTTAGAACTGCCGCAAGATTGGAATGGTCTGTTCACAAAAACACATCAGATGTCACCGTACAAAAATACTAAAACTCAGTTTCCCAGATTTACATTATGACAAGTAGAAAAGTGTGATAATGTACTATTAGGTGATCATTGGAATGTTGGTATTACTGTTTACAGGTTCTTCCTAAAAAGAAACTGCACTGTGCACCGAGTAAGCAACCTGCATGGCCTGTGGGTAGATGGTTTCATCGGCACACCGCCTGCAATAAACCAGTGAAGCTGTTAAACTTTTCACCTGAGTAGCATTTCAGAATTCAAATAAAGTTAACCATCAAGACAATCCTCATAAAGATCCTGTGGTTCACTGCACTGGTAAGTTAAATGCAGATAAGCACTTTGTCCTGTGGAAACTTGGATATATTCATCATAATCTGATATATCTTATGTGTTCAGGTCAAGTCAAGCAGTTTTGACAACTAAGCATATAGATTACTTTTCAGGTTACGCATATTCCCAGTTTTTTAGGTCAGAATCACCAAACCCTTCGAATGCATACCAAAAATCAAATTGGCAAACAGCTACACTTTGTGTCCGAAAAGTAGCATTCACATTGTAGTATAATAAAACACTAGTATTAGTATAACAACAATATCCATTCATTTAAATAACTGCTGATGATATTTATATGTTCAATTAATAATCACCCAGAAAAAGAAGCATGAAACTGCTTGGTTACTGTGAATGGAACCCCTTTTTTAGGATCCCACAGGCTATTGTAGATTACCAGACCTGGTCAAGGATCTTCAATTGGCTTCCCAAGTTCAATGCACAGTGTTGTGCCTCCTATGACCAATTATTGAGTGTATCGTTAAGTGGAGGTGCGATGGCATCTATTGGGCACTGTGTGCACTGGTGTGTTACGTGTTAGTTTGTTGGAGTGAATCCACACCATAGGCATTTGTCGCTGCGTTTGTCAGAAAAACTTTTGTGAAGTCGATGTAAGTGTGGTCAAACATAGACAAACACAGACCCATTCAGCAAAGGGTGATGCAAGATCTTACATTTCCACTGCATGCCTGGTATTCTGCGCATTTTTGGGGAGAGATCAGACTGCCAAAAGTTTGAGCAGTCACATCATTTCATATATTTCTACACTAGTATATCCTACTTCTGGCACCATGTGTATTGAATTTGCTAGAGTGAGTTAATGGAGCCATATAACCACCACTAACTATAACTAAATGCCAATTTGTTTATCCTGAAAGTGACAGAAAACTTTAAAAAAATGGTAAGGCCTCACATCAAATATGTTTGGGGTAAGAAACATAGATACAAGAGGAATTAAAAGGAAAACACAAATCCAGGCCATCAACTGAAATTTCCTACTAAAGAAAGGAAGGATACAAAAAAAGCTACTGATATATGGAAGGTAGCACTAATTTACTCACATAATTTGCGCCTTATCCCGCACCAATTGGTGAGATTGGTATGAAAAAAAAAAGCAGAGGAGTATGCACTTGCTAATACAAGTTTCCTGCCATTAAAAGCTTCTTCATATTTTCAAACGCTTAGGTCCTCTGGTATTGCTGTGTCGTGGGACCTAGTTTCTCCCAGAATTGTCGAGAAGAGTTAAAAAAAATGGCGCATTCGAATGTGCTAAATGGAACCGAGTACAATGCGCTTTGGGAGGGTGGTTGCAGCGGCAGCGACGATGATTTTCAATCGAACCTCTTGACCAGAGGTTCTGACTGGACCGCGCGTGACCAAATCTGAGAGGTTAAAGTACGCACTAATTCTGTTAAGTGCACTTGCTCCAACTTGTTTTCTTTTTTTAATGATTAAACTGTGTGCGTTAGCAATATTGCACATTATGTATTTCGTATGCATTCACAAAATCACCGCATCGCGTAACTTGTGCACCCCCTTCTCATAGCCCCCAAATCACACAAATAGTGTGCAAATTATGCAAGTTGATGATGATGATTTTTGGTGTTTTGTGGTGAAAAGGCCATTAGATGACTAAAGAGCGCTAGTTCATAGAATTAGAGATGTGGACAACGATTGTAATAAGCGCCTGTATAAGGACCTTAAAATTCCTCGTGCTAAAACAGGTAAAAACATAGAAGTATTAAAATCATGACCATGTCACAAAATGTGTGTAATGTCAATGGATGGCAAAAGTTTGTGATAATAAAAACCATAGTGGACATGTATAACATCAGCACAAGTGCCTCAATCGTCCACACCCTTGCGTCCAACGGCCGCGAGGAAATTGCTTTGTTCAGTGTAGCCACTGTAGCGTAGACCTTTCTGGAAAAGTTGTGCTACAGAATACCTAGGTATTCTGTAGCACAACTTAAGTACATGACATGAAATGATGATAATGATATATAGTGTTTTTTGGCACAAGGGCCATTTGATGGCCAAAGAGCGCCAGTTCATGGGACAAGATGATGATGTTTGGTGCTTTGTGGCCCAAGAGCCATTTGATGGAAAGAGCGCCAGTTCATGGGACAAGATGATGATGTTTGGTGCTTTGTGACGCAAGAGCCATTTGATGGAAAGAGCGACAGTTCATGGGACAAGAGATGTGGACAATGATTGTCATTAGCGGCTGTATAAGGGCCTTAAAATTCTTTGCCCTAAGTTGGGTAAAAACATAGAAGTAATAAAATCATGACCATGCGTGAAAAGTGTGTGGTGTTAATGAATGATGATAGTTCGTGATCATAAAAATTATGATGGACATGTATGGCATAAACACTAGTGCCTCAATCGTTCACACCCTTGCGTCCAAGGGCCATGAGGCAAGTCTTTATTGAGTGTAGCCACCGCAGCAGAGACCTTTCTGGAGAGGTCGTGCTACGGAATGCCCAGGTATATGATATGAAAAGTACGAACTTCTTTCAAAAAAGCTAACAGTGATTTATGTGTGAAAAGTGGTTCCCTAACGATGAACATTGCAGTATGAAGTGGTATCTGTTGTCGGTAGGGTAATAGAAAGTGTTGTCTTCTTAGCGTGTCTCATTCTTTACACTGGATTAGAATGTGAAGTACGGTGAGTACTTCTCCACATCTATCACACAAAGATGGATCGCCACCAGACAAAAGAAATGAATGTGTAGAGTATGTATGTCCTGTTGTTAACCTTGTAAGTATTACTTCTGTGTGGCGTGATTTTGATACTGGCGGCCAATGACCAAGTTGCGGCTTGATGACATGCAACTTATTACCTGTGTGTGTGCCCCATGTGCTCTGCCAATAACCCCTGAGCTTTCGTTTTAGAAAAAGTTTCAAGTCGAGTGCAGGAACTGGTATCGATGCATTGGAATCGGTTTTGTTCACGGATCCAGCTAGCTGGTCCACCAGAACGTTGCCTTGAATTTTCCGACGTCTTGGCACCCAGCAGACTACAACGTGTTGCTTAGATGAGTAGACTGTGCATAAGAGCGAATATAGCGAGACAAAGACAGGGCTTTTGTGCTTTTTAAAAATTTTCAGACCTTTTACTACGCTTAGAAAATCTGTACATATTATTGCCTTCTGTAGTTTTATTTGTTTAATGTGTTTAACGGCCACAAGTATCGCATTAGCTTTGCAGGTGAAAATGCTTGAATCAGAGTGCAGAACGCCGGCTTCCGAAAAGGATGGGCTGACGGCTGTGTACGAGACTGAAATGTCAGACTTTAAAGCATCTGTAAAAAACTCAGGACACGTGTATTTCTCTGGTAGTTCTAGGAAGTATGTCTGGATATGTGTAAGTGGTGCATGCTTCGTAACTTCCAAGAAAGACACGTGGCAATCTATTGCCTGCCATTGCCACGATGGCAGGCATACTGCAAGAGCCATCAAAGGGTGTTCAAGTGGCACACCAGTTTCCTTCGCTAAGCCCCTCACACGGAGTGAGTAGGGCTGTCTCATAAAAGCCCGTTTTTTTTTTCAAACACAGGAGAACTTGACATGTCATTTATTGTAGAATGTGAAGGTTGTTTCTTGTCTATGTTCACTTTAAGATAATATTTAAATGACATGTAACATCTCTGTAGGAGGAGCGACCATTCGTTCGATTCCACGTACAGGCTTTCCATGAAGATAGAGCGAAAAGTACCTGTAGAGAGGTGGATGCCTCGATGATCAATAGGACCAAGCATTTTAAGGGCAGTAAGTGTCCCAGACTATGTTATTGCCCCATAGTCTAGACGAGTACGTACGAGGCTTCTATACAAATTCATGAGACACTTTTAGTCATTTCCCCATTTAGTGCGTGACAACAACTTTAGATCGTTCATCGCTTTTATGCACTTGGTTTTTAAATACTTTATGCGTGGTATGAAGGTTAGCTTGGAGTCCAAAATTAGGCCTAAGAATTTGTGTTCAATATTAACAGAAAGACGTTGCTCATGCAGTTGAATATTGGGTTCGGAATGAATGCCTCTCTTCCGAGAGAACAAGACACACGTGCTTTTCTGTGCAGTCAGTCGGAGCCCATTTTCTTGTGCTTAATGGGAGACTTTGTTCAAACCAAGCTCAATCTGTTGCTCACACATGGCCAGATTACAAGACTTGAATCCAAGTTGGACATCGTCGACATATGTGCAGTAAAACATAATTCGAGGGATGGACAAGCGTAAAGAATTCATTTCAATAATAAAAAATATACCACCTTGCAGCACTCCTGTTTCTTGGACAATTGTTTGGGAAAGAACGCTACCCACTCGGACACAGAATGTCTGATTTGACAAGTAACTTTTGATTATGGTAAACATTCTGCAACACACGCTAAGGTGGGACAGGTCTCTTAATATTCCAAAGCGCCATGTTGTATCATATGCTTTTTCGATATTGAGCAACACAGAAAGAAAGTATTGTTTGTGGACGAAAGCGTCTCTGATCTGTGCCTTGATGCGAACAAGGTGGTCGGTGGATCCACCCTCTCGAAATCCACACTGGAATTGGTCAAGCAATTTGCTTGTTTCAGAAAAATGTACAAGTTGGCAGTTTATCATTTTTTCAAAAAGTTTACACAGGCAGCTTGTAAGTGCAATAGGCCTGTAACTCGTAACTGAAGGATACTTGCCGTGTTTCGAAATGGGAATAACAATAGCCTCTTTCCAGGAAGTAGGAATAGCGCCAAAGAACGAGATAGCATTGTACAACCAAAGTAAGGTTTTTTGTGTTTCAATTGGTAGGTTTTTTAACATTTCATACACCACATGATCAGAACCTGGGGTGGAAATACTGCAGGAGTTTAGTGATGTTT